TTTGGACGTTGACTTCATATGGGAGGTTCTCGACGAAGAGTGCATATAAAATGCAACAACCTCCTTCGACCAACAACAACCAACAACTCCCTATGCCAGAGTGGGTTCGGTGCTTCACCTGGCTGCTTGCATAGCGGAAGATTAGTTCGAACGAGCAGAGGAAGATCTTCCAACGTACTCAAACAGAATCTCTTCTCCACATTTTCAAAGTTTGCCCGCCGACAGCTTACCTCTGAAATCGCACGATTCTGACAGACTCACAATATGAGTTCTTTAGCTGCCATTGTGATCAATGGATGAAGAGGAATCTTATGAGTGAGGAACTTTCAGGCTTGGACCTGCTCTGGAATGTTTTCTTGAGTATTGCGATGTGGTGCCTTTGGAAGAACATAAACAAGGGAACCTTCCATGGGATAAACAAGACGATATATGCACCTTACCTCTTGCAAGGGATTCGAATTAAGCCGGACTTGTGGTTTCGTACGTGGAAGGCACCAAACTTGACAGTTGGGCGGGCCAATCAGATTCGGGGGAATTGCATGTGTAAGAGGAGCTTTACGTGACGACAACAACACTTGATCGTGGGGTTCGTCTCCAGTCTGGGCTCGTGTTCAACCACCATGGCGGAACTTTGGGCTACATACCATGGAGTCAATTGGTCACCACAGGACATACCCGTTTCATCCTTATGTTGCTCTTCTAAAGGCTAGCAGGCATAAGATTGCTCAAGATTGGATGGTGAATCTAGTTCATACATACAGAGAAGAGAATATATCCAGTTGCCTGCATCTCGAAGCACATGGGGTGGGTGGTGGCTCAACATACTACTCCCATGACGTGGTTAGGGGCCATCAACATACCACTCTCATGAGGTGAGTGGAGGGTGAGTAGAGGGTGCCCCTTCATAGGAGGGGGGGGGGGGGAGGGGGTTTGATATTACCACCTTGGTTGACAAGGGGGAAGTCAAGTGGCGATGAGTCTTCCCTTCATGCATTAGCCACTTTTCTCTACAGACAAACAAAGCTACGGAGGAGATACCAAGAGGGGGGACTGAAGTCTCATGGAGAGAGTAATACCGACGTCAGCGCATCAGTGGAGCAGTTGAAGAGGGTAACTATCACTCCACATCAGCATAACGGTTTGTCAAGGCAGTTACTTCTTGTGGCTATAAATAGGATGTGAAGGCAGTCACTTGTAGTTTTTGAGCTCTAGTTGACCTCTGTACACAGGAGTAGAGTTAATTTCATTTAGTTTTTTTCTCGTAGATCATAAAAAACATCGAACACTCTTTTTGAACTTTGTTCAAAGAGGCGAGGACCGTGTTTTCTTAATCGTTTGGTAAAAAGTTGAAGGTGCAATTCTTTATCTTTCATCTAGTTTTTCTCGCTCTTGTAATACACTATTTTGGAAATTAAATTCCAAACGAGCCCCTAATCTTCATTTCCAATTACAATCTAAATTTCAATCTATCTTCGTTAATATGTTTTAGCTGCTTTGGCGAATAAATAAGCATATCGTGAGATGGAAGGAAAGTTGTTAAATGCTACCCATTGGTCTTGAATTGCTCAAAGAAAGTCAATGAAATAATGCTTCCGTGTATATACAACTTTAACGAATGGCGTGCAGGGGGAATAGATCTCCCTAACTCACTCCCACAAAGCGGGCCACGGAACCGATTAAATGGATAACTTACTGAATACACAAACCAAAGACTTTGTTTCTTGAATTCATTTTAGGGTCCACTCGACGTGCATAAACCTTGGTTATATTTTCGTGGATAATTGTATATTATGATTCAAATTTTAGTTTTTAACATCAGACGTTCGAGCTCAAAAAATTAATCGGGTGACACAAACGGTTAACCGCTTCGGTCGCTTAGATAATAATTTAAATGGACTAAACCAATTGTGTGGAGTGGAGTGGTTCATATCTTTTTTTAATGCTTAGATCAAAATTTCATTAAGCACAGGCATGAGGCAACCAATAGCATACTTGTCATCCTCATGCTCCTTCTTACGATCTCCTTCCGGTACCACCGCCGCCTTAAGAGTTTGTTTTGCAGATAAAGTTTCGATCGAAGACTCTAATATCATTTCATAAACAGTTTTGTTCTAATAACTCGAACTGACTGAAAAAAGTTAATTCATTGTAAATCTTACTTATATCACTCTCTTACAAGACATAACATTATCATTAAAAAAAGTTAAACCGATTAAAATTTAACAAGGCTGGAAGCATCTGCAGGAATTAGAATCGCAAAGCCCATGAGCATCTTTCCCAAATTGTTGCTGACACTCGGAGGTACATTCATCTCGAAGGCATTGAGGGGAAGTCTTGATAATTCCTTTATCACAATACCTTTGTGCCGTCACCTCTTCATTTCCTACAAAATATTTTCATTATTCATTAGAATTATATTTTTAATGATTACACGTTCATCCAATCTTATAAGCTTCATCCATCAATTCGTTTATGGGATCCTATTTATCTCATCAACCACTATCTGCTAAAAAACTAGTAGAGAGAAAATGAGGATGAAATATATTTTACCAGCAATGACCAAAAAGGCCACTAAGAAGAGAAGGAAAATAGTGGAGCTCTTCATTCTTGATCTATTTCTCTTCTTTTTACTAAGTTCAATTTTGGGTGAGAAAGTCAGAAAGCAAAGATTTTTGAATTTATATTTATGTAGTGAATTGAATGAGTACTTATTCTCTTTGTCATTCACAAAACGAATTACTTCAGTCTCCCTTTTATAGGGATTAGGGAGTCTACATGATGTTTAATTCTTAATTGGAATTTACCATTTATCATTCTTGTTAAGGAAATTCTTTCTTGGAGAATATGAAGTATAAAGTATATAATTAATTTTCTTGGATTTAATAACCTTAATAAACCATTTGGACTGGTATAGAAAAATATCCTTAATTAGACACATTGATTGTCATTTTCCATTTCTCTTTCTTTTTCATAGTTATCTCCAAAGAGAAGCAACATAGATACGACAATATACAAGACCTTGCAGGTAGGGGTGGTTATATGGTCCGGTCCGGTTAAAATGGACCAAATTGATCCGGTCTCAGTCCGGTCTTTTCGGGAATATAAGGACAAAAGATTGGATTGGATACAGTCCGATTTTAATCCGGTCCGGTCCCAATTTGATCTTGATTTTAGATTGAGTTTGTGGGGATTTGAGTGTTGGGGTCTCTTATCCGGTCTTTATCCGGGTTTTTCACCTCAAATCTAAGCCCGAATATGAGATTGGATTTTTGCTATCCGGTCCCGATCCGGGTTATACGGTCCGGTTTCGGGTAAAACCAAACAGTCTGGACCAAATAGCCAGCCCTACTTGCAGGCCAGGCTACAAAGTAGAAAGAGGGAAAACATGATGGATGACAAGTGTCTGACCCATCACTTCAAGGTTTTAGTTTGCCACGATATGAGCAACCTTATTATATCTCAGAGGTGTGAAGTGAAACGTTGCACGCTAATAGGATAATCAAAGCACCTAGATTTCTTGCAGAATAGCTTCTCCCATCTCGTGCGAGTCCGACGTGTTGACCATCTGAATAATCCCTGCGCATAACGTAACCACAAAAAACAAAATATTTGTGTAAGAATGCATCAACCAACAAAAATCGTGTTTTACGTAAAATCGAAAAATTGAAGAAAAATTCGAATTAAAGATTAAAATCATAAAATTTTAAAATTCATATCAAATTGAATACTTAAATTCGAACTCGGCTCAAATTCGTCCAAAACCTTAATTGTCAAGATGCTTGACTAACGAACTGAAATTGGCAGCTGAAGCCAGCTCGAGTTTAGCTTGGTAATGGCTCATTACCAAGCTCGAGAAGTGTCCTGAATCATGATCATGCTCAAATTAGTTGAAAAGCAGGAATATTGCACAAGCTAATTATTCCCTAATGTTAGCTCATCTTGAGGAATAAATCCATGGGTTTAAACAAGGAACTAGAATTATAACTCAGTATTATACAAAAATGAGCTAGTCCACCATAGCTAATCGCTGCTTCAATTAACATAACACTAATGACAGAAAATTATGTTTGCTACATTGAAATAATAGATGGATATGTTTGGTCAAAATAGTAATAAAACATTTACTAACTTATATTAGTGGGAGGACATAAAATGCCTTTAACCATTAGCTTTATCCTATGGGGATCGTGTTGAAGCTTTCTGCTATGTGTACTTTTGCTGGCATTTTCAACGTGTTCCCAATCGGTGACCCACATAACTATTCTTTTTATTTTATGATATGATATAATTTTTTCTATTTTTTTAATCTCAATAATACTCATATACTATATTTCTCATTACCAAACAGAAACTACTTTGTTTTTTTCCCCCCCGTTGTTGTTAACATTTGGCCTTTTGCCATTTTTCTTGGAGTTTCGTCTTGAGTCTTTCGCCTTTATTCTCGGTTGCATTTTCAACATGTTATCTTTCCGTATTAAATATCTTGGTCTCAAGATATGTATGAAACCAACATTGCGGAAAATATCAATTTATCGGCCAAACCAATGCAACTATATAAGTAACACCCAGTATGCATAACGATAACAACAAAAACCAAAGCTATTAATTTATTTTATAGTATCAAATTATTTCCTCTAGTGTTTTAATCGATATCATAGAAATACCAAATTTTTCTGTCAAACAGTGTTCAACAGAAACTTCTTTGTATTCTTAACATTTAGCAATTTGTCCCTTTCTGCTTGGCTTCTATTCCGCTTGCCATTTTCTCGTTGTTTTATGTCTCAGTTTCGGTCTGATGACCAGCTCTCCTATGGGGGTAAACTAATGTTCCAGTCAGTTATATAAATGTGGGCAGGGAAAGGTGCCCCAAAAGCACATTGGTGTCTAAAATTTCAACAAAAGATAGAAGTAATTAATTACAATGGGTTCAGAATCCAGTCTCAAGCTGCCTTCGTTTGATTTCTCTACGCCTGCAGGAGTACTGAAACCAGGCAGCCCGAGTGGAAGAGTACGGTTGCTTCGAGGCGTCGTTCGACAGGGTTTCTGAGGACGTTCGCAGGGCGGTTTTCGGGTCGCTGGAAGAGCTTTTCGAGCTGCCTTTGGAGACGAAGCTGCGGAATGCTTATTCGAACAAACCGAGCCGAGGTTATGTGGGACAACACCCTCTGATTCCGGTGTATGAAAGCTTGGGCATAGATGATGCTCATGTTCCTGAAAGTGTGGAATCCTTCACCAACACTCTGTGGCCTCAAGGAAACTCAAGTTTCAGGTATTTTTACCACCTAGTCTTTTTATGCCTCATTTAGTATTAATTATGAGACTGAACAAAATTAAGAAATAATGGAAAGAATAACAGAGAATATAGGCTATAAGATTTCGAGGATGAGTTATAAGAAAAAGTAGAGGGAAGAAAGTGGATCTAGTGAGATTATTTAGTCGTCGACAAGCTAGAATGAAATTATTCCACCAACAATTTATAGGATCCCACAAAATAAAAATAAATAAAAGACTTTTTGAAACAACAAGGTAACTACTTAAAGTAGTTTCACTTATTTCAGCTGATTACTCTTGTGTTTCCAACTTATCAACATGTGAAAACGAACCAAACATGTTATTCACCTATAAAAGCATAAAACAAAAATTGAAAATGTTAATAAACAGGTTCTAAACTTATGATTGATTGGGTTCAAATGGTTGGCGCTTAATTAACTTTTTTGGCCAGCAAAACGATGCAGTCTTACTTCGAGCAGCTTTCAGAATTGGACAAAATCGTGAGGAAAATGATCGTCGAAAGCTTTGATCTGGAGAAATATATGGACGAACACATCAGCTCCACAAACTACCTTCTGCGGTTCATGAAATACGATAGCCCTAACACCCCTGATGCCAAACTTGGGCTTAGTCCGCACACAGACAATAATACGGTGACCATATTGCATCAGAATCAAGTTGAGGGACTGGAAGTGCAAACCAAAGATGGCAGGTGGATCAACATCCAGCCTTCTCCAACCTCTTTCATCGTTATCATTGGAGAAGCTCTTAGAGTAAGTTATAATCGTCAAATTGCGATTTAAAACATAAAAGTTGACGCTTTTACACTTTTAGTTTTAGGTAACCAAAATATGTTTACATAAAATTACTATTAAGCAAAAGTCTTGACAATGAGTTTGTTTTTCAACATGACGATGTTTTTTTTTTCTCGTAGGCTTGGTTGAATGGTCGACTTTATTCACCGCGTCATCGGGTTATGATGTATGGAAATGAAACGAGATATTCATTGGGTTTATTCTCAACCCCAAAATCTGGCTACGTGATACAGACCCCAAAAGAAATGGTTGACGAGAAACATCCATTGTTGTTTAAGCCCTACGACCACGAAGAATTTATGTCCTTCTATTACACTGAAGCTGGCCAAAGAGCACCCTCTGCTTTGCAAGCATATTGTGGAATCTAATGTATGTTATGATCATATGGGTTGGTGTGGTGTGTTCAATAATGTTTCCTTTGTTTTTTCATCATTACTAGGTTTCCTTGTTGAGTTTGGAATAAGTGTTGTGAATAATGCCCATTGATGACAATGTTGCGCTCTCAAGGTCTGTTCTTCTTATCTTGGTAATCCACCTTTATCATCTCACGAGTTTTTCTTGTCCGAAGGGCGACATGTTTCGTTTTAATTTCTTTTCTTATCTGTTGCGTGTTATTTTTCTGTTTGTTGAATGTACTAGTTTTTTGGCCCGCGCTTTGCAGCGGCTAGAAATTAATTATATTTCAGACTTCATCTATTTAATTTTTTATTTGTCAGAACATTATGTTAATAAGATCTCATAAGTTGTATGTCGGGTCTTAATTATCATTATGATTACTTCAACCAGTTTTATTTAGTGTCTTAATTGTTAGAAAAGACTTATTTACTCTATACATAAGAAATAACTATCTCTCGATAAATTTTATGTAATGCTTTTGTAATTTATGTAACTATTATACAACGTTGTTACTTAAATCTTCCGTAATATGTGGTCTAATAGTAAAATCAAGTTACGAAAAGTATTACACTGGATTAACATCAAAATTAACCTGTATCTGTATGTCTCCTCTTCTGACCTTTCTAAAATAATATTTTCATCTCAAAGATATTTTAAAATCAATATTTTAACTATTCAGAGTCAATTATTTCTTATATTATATTTCTTATTAATTTATGAAGTATTTTATCTATGCCTTCTTTTTAAAGAGTTAGTATCGACATTATTTTTCCAAATAACATATAAGAATGAGGTCGATCTATCCCGTCCCACATATACATGCGCGGATATTATTCGACCTAACCTGCGCTTAATGCGTGATGACTGATGAGTGTGTATATTGAGATACCCGCATCTTGCCATTGCCATGACTAATTACTGAGACTGCAACGCCACATTATTAGAGTGAATTTTATAACCATCCAAAAATTTAAAATGATTGCCAAGAAAGGAACTGGGCAAACGTAATTATATAATGGATCTAATAAAGTTGCCAAGAAAGAAAATGGGCAAGGGTAGTTATTAATTGATCCAACGCATAATAATAATTCCCCCGGTGAACAGTAACCACGGAGGCATGTAGGCGGAAATTTCGTGAGGAACAGTGCCTCATACTTGCGTTGTTAATTAAGTAATTACTGAGTAAACTTAAAAGTCGAATCTTATGGCGGTAACGGATTGCCAATTCAATGATAAACTTAAAAGTCATCAACCGGTAGATTTACCACGAAGTCAGCCTACCAGTCTCTTCTGCCTCAAGAACCAGACCGGGATGAAAAGTTTTGGAAGATCATTTGGAGTCTGCCTGTGCTGGAGAGGATCCGTTGCTTCATGTGGATGGTTTGCCTGGGCAGAATTGCGACTAAAGCTCTCCTTTTCTCCAGGAAGTCAGCAAATTCTCCCCACTGTGTTCGATGTGATGGCCGAGCCGAGACCGTCCTCCACATCCTCAGGGACTGCCCTCCGGCGGCCTATTTTTGGACGAGACAGGTCCCCAGTACCAGACATCAGAGATTCTTCTCGGCGGACACCTCAGCATGGCTCCGGATGAACTTAGCTGCAGGGGAGGACGAGCATCTGGGGGAGGATTGGGCGGCTTTGTTAAGCATTGCCGCCTGGCTCTTGTGGAAAAATAGAAATGACATGTGCTTCAAAGGTATTCCCTCCACCCTCACTCCGCCTTCATTGACTCATTCGATTCTTGCTAAGGCCAAACTGTGGAGGGAAGCTTGGAGCGCACCTGCCTTTTTGCTTACTAGGAGGGCGTCCCCTGCCACTCGTGTTATGGCAAACATTGCTTGGACTTCTCCTACAGATGGTTGGGTTAAGCTTAATATTGATGGAGCCTCTAATGGGAACCCGGGGATGGCCGGGGCTGGAGGCGTGATGAGGGACAGTGTGGGGCAGTGGATAGTTGGCTTTGTGGCCAAAATCGGTGAAGCCTCGGCAGTTCTAGCTGAGCTATGGGCCTTCTATCACGGTTTGGATATAGCGTGGAAATCCAGATACCGCCAGATTGTAGTTGAGTCTGACTCTCAGCTTGCCATCCAGTTAATCAATGACAGGCATGATCCAGTGCATCTGTATGCTACTTTGCTAGCTGCCATTCGCAGAAGAGTTAGCCGTGACTGGCTGGTGCGCATAGGTCATGTATATCGAGAAGGGAATAGAGTCGCGGACTGGCTCTCGAAGCACAGTCTCGTCTATCCCTACGGTATACATGAACTTGCGCACCCGCCGCCAGGGGTAGTGGCCATCCTTCGGGATGATGTACAGGGTGTTTCTTTTGAGAGGCGGATTGTTTCACGCCCGGATAGCTCTCCCTCTTCTCATCCCCCTATGTAACCCTCTTGTTCTTGGCTTTCGCCTCCTGTTATGCAAAAAAAAAAAAATATCACCAGCAATAAGAAGAGAACTAAGAAGAGAATGCTTCATTCTTGATTAGCTTCTCCCCGTTCCTTTCTTTCTTTCTTTCACCTAACTCAATTTAATGAAGGCATAAAGTTTCTGAACAATTAGTTGTTATTTTGACTAACAGGGTATGGTGCACATAACATATGAACCTTTTTTTCCACAAACAGTTCGTTGGTAAAAAGTGTAATTTGTAAATAAGAGCTTCGTTTTCATTGATAGAACTTGGAAGCATATACGAGAAGTTCGTGAGTATAAAGTTACATTGAGAGTATAAATACATAAACGAGAGTTGATGGAAAATAGGTGGCATTAATGTGTTCAATTTGATTTTGGATTTGGATTTGATTTAAAGTACTCTTATCGAAAAGCTGAGCAGTATAAGATCGACAACGGAGTGCTCTTATTTAGTCCATTCTGATTTGACGATTAATCATCAATTTTATTCTAATATTTGTTTGGGTAGAAAAAAATATATTATTGATCAATGAATTTTATCTATGTAACAAGCTTGATAGCATACACATCTCGGCGGATGTCTTGGTTCTACAGTCAGGCACTTCCCGTTGAGCCAACCAGCACCCGGTATTACAAACTTAATGTTGCAGAATTTCGTACAAACACGCTCATTGTCGCAGACCAAGGGAAGCTCGGTACGCCCTACTTTCTTGCAAAATTTATCCTCATTCACTACAGCTCCTGTCGCGATCGCCTCCTCCTTTCCTGCTCGTACAAAAAAAAAGAGAGATTTTCTTGTATGTATCAACGGTCATACTACGTTGAAGCGTCGTATATACTACAGAAGTACGTCAGTCATTATAGTCAAACCTAAACACAAAAGAACAGTAGGGAAATTTGAGGATAGAAAATTCACCAGCTATGACCAAGGACGACGCCACTAAGAAGAGAATGAAGTTGATGATGAAGCGCTTCATTCTTGATTAGCTTCTCTCCTCTTTTCCTTTTTTGTTTCAACGTTTAATAATTGGGTGAAAGAAATGAGAACTCAAGAGTTAATTTGACGTGGGGAATCCAGTTACTACATATATAGTTCTCGTGGCATGCCGCCCGGTTGAACCCTGTACAACCAGTGTCGATCAGGAAACCGACATAACACAATCGATATAATCAACATGATCGAGTTACGAACTCTAATCAAAATGACATCATTTTAGTCAATATAATTAATGAAAAATGAACTGATTACATATTTTAAGAAAATAAGTTAAAAGTTTATGTAATTTGTTGGATTCAGATATAAACGTTCAAGTATTGACTGTAAATATTGTATTTAAATATGACTATTTGTTAATTTATTTGAAATGTTGTATTTTATTTAATCGGCATGAATCGGCACAAACCGGTTATGCCACTGATCGTACCATTTTACTCGCTAAACCGAGGCAATGGTATAAACCAATTTGACAACCTCGAGTTACTAGCTCTCCCTTTCTAAAGATTTAAGAGTCAACATGACAATTAATTCTTAATTGGCTCTTTCCTTTCCTCTTTCTTTTTTTCACCTTCCTGAATTTAATGAAGGCGTAAAGTTTCTGAACAATTTGTTGTAGATTTGACTAACTAGACTCCCGTGCATATAACATATTCCATATGCTAAGCATGCATATGATTAAGTATAACATTCATATACCGGGGTTTTCAATTCATAAAAGTTCAAAGCTCAAATGGACCTTCTTATCTTCAATTTATAAACTTATCGTTGTTTAGGCCTGACACTCTTATACGGATCCAAATGAGAGAGAATGTAATGTTTCTAACCTTCTATTTTTCTTAATCAGATCCTACAACATTCGTTTTAACTAGGAATATTAAAAAATTCATAGAAAGAACGAATTAATTACGATCTTGAATATACACTTTGATATATTTTGAACAAAGAACAAATAAACTCTTCGAAATACGTTAAGATTGTAGTATTATCACAGTCATGTCCATCATGATATGATGGACATGACAGTGATACGATGACTCATCTCCTTCATTTCAACTCAAAATTTAAAAAGAAAATGTATAGAAAGACCACATTCATTAAGATTTGTTAAGTTTGTCAAGTATAAGACCTCGTACAAACATCATATCGGTGCCATTCATGTTACCATAGTGACAATATCATTATATAACATCATCAAATTATTTTGTCAAACATAAGACCTCATACCAACATCGTATCACTGTTATATCAATATTATATCACTATCATATCAACATCATACCACTGATATTAGGGGTGGCTATTTGTTTCGAGCTTTTTGGTTTCACCCGAAACCGGACCGTATAACCCAGACCGAGACCGGATAGCAAACAATAAAATCCCCTTTTCGGGTTTAGATTTGAGATAAAAAAACCGTTCGGGATCTGAACGAAACCGGATAAGAGAGCTTAACATCCAAAACTTAACCAACTACTCCCCCTTTCAGGCCTCGGGCCACTAAAATCTCCACAAGCTCAATCTAAAATCAAGACCGAATTGGGATTGGACCGGGTCAACACCGGACCGGATCAAGACCGAACTGTATCCAATCCATGGTCCATATATTCCCGAAAAGATCGGACGGGGACCGGATCAATTGGGGCCAATTTAACCGGACTTGACCATATAGCCACCCCGAACTGATATCATACTACTGTCAGTGGCAAAACAAGCCTTAAATTATCATAATATTTTTGTACCCTAACTCAAGCCTTAAATTATTATGCTATTGTGACTAACTAGTAATAATAGAGTAGCGCCAAGTAACCTTGCTGGAATGCCATGTAGTCAAAATTGTGATTTAAAACTTAAAAGGCCATGCAACAAGAAGCATATCTCAAATAAAAGCAAGAATGACTAAACCTGGGAGGGCCTTTGCCATCTCGAGGTCCATGGTTGCCAAGAGGTCCATGACCATCTCGCGAGAGGGATTATGGGCAGAAGTTCATGGCTGCGAATGAAGAGGTCATGTCATGACGAATACTAAGTATGAGAAGGTCATATGTCGTGTCATAAGAGGGACCATGATAGCGAATGAAGAGGTTATGCCATGACAGTCCTCATGACCAAGACCGAAGGCCCAAAAATATGTTTAAGTATGGGAGGTCCATGGTCATCTTGCAAGATGGGACGTGTATTGAATACACAACTTTGCTTGTGCCAAACCAACAGCTCCACCAGTTGAGCTTACCCCTCTTTCGTTGTTTTGAATGTTTCCCTTTAGGATTGGGAAAAAGTGTTATCTAGTAATTCGAATCTAGGAAACCCCCAACGTCAATGCTTTCAATGATTTGGAGCACAACGATAGAATAAGACGCCCAAATTGTGCAGACGCATAACGTCATAACCGGATTGTAATTGAGAGCTTTTTTCCACATCAATGTAATTAACAATTATCCTTGACTAATTTAATCAAAATTTATTTGATACAATAATAGTGTTGATGGAGGTGAAATTTAATTAATTTATGGACAGGAAATCCAGCAATAACATCTGAACCACAGCTCGTCGCATTTTGCAACAGCTTTGGGTCCAAATTGAGCTAGGCAGCCAGGGACGCAGTCAGCATCCTTGAAGCACTTGAATTCATATGGTGGCAGTTGTTGCTTGTTACATTGATTTGGTCTTGCCGCACTCACTTCCTCATTTCCTACATGTACATACATTATTATTTTAACGTGCAATATTATATAATTTGTACATTGGAAAAATGAGGGGAAAAAATAATTTTACCAGCAATAACCAAGAAGGCCAATACGAAGACAAGGAAAATGGTGGAGCTCTTCATCCTGCAGGATCGGTTCTTTTCTTTTCTTTCAGAGCTTACTAAGGCGAGAAAATGAGAAAGTGAAGGATTTTTTTGATGTTGTGGTGACTCCAACAAGACCAACTCTTCCCTTTAAATAAGGATTAGGGAGCCAAGATGAGGATTGATTTTCATCTACATCTTTCCATTTGTCTTTGATGTTTTTGGTAGGAAAATCCAATTAATTAAAATGTGTTCAGGTAATGAAAATTTGCTTCCTTTTTCATGGGATTTTCTCAAAGGGACATTATACATTTCATTCCAAGAAAAAAAAAATCCTCATAAACTACCTTCAACATGAGGGTTGCTAAATTTTTTTATAAAAAATTATTTTATTTCATCAAAGTGCTCAACCAAATTTTTTTATTTTTTATTCCATTCAAACAATTGCTGCATTTTATGAACAAGCTTTCCTGCCTGCTGCTTTTGATTTCTATGAACTCTTGGACATTTCTCCCTCCAAACTTCACTTACCACTACATTTCACACCAACCTACGTACCTTGCAATGCTTGAAACATGCAACAACAACCATCATACCTTCGTGCCAACCAGCTTTTGGGTTGTAGTGAAGCCATCCTTCACCACATGACTCTATTACTCTTTTGATCACGGCTGGTTCTCCATCACAAGACTCCAGTGATCGTAATCATCATCGAAGTTTGAAATGCACAAGAACACTCGTGTTTCCCGCCATATAATTTCCCTGGCATGCAATCAGACATCCCAAACCGCTTTCACTCGAATACAATTTCACTCTCACGCGCGATTGCCTGATTACTATCTGCAAAACTCTTATACCACAATGTAAACTCTATTGGGAGTAAACCGACAACGTTAAATACAATGATGCTACTAGCCTTTGACTTCAGCTGCAAATCATCCCACTAACCCCCGGTCCCTTGATTACACCTCCCATGACTCATCAACAACCTACTATATAATATGCAAACTTGACTAACAAAGCTGGAAACTAAGTTGAAACTACAGATGGACTTATTTTACTCCAAATAAAACTTCAAGGACTAAACTGAAACAAAGACCTATCCGCTAGATCATTCACATGGAAATACCCAAACAGGCGGCGGCCAAATCAGAACAGGATCATACAAGCTCCGACAATGAAACGGCTCAACACTTCCTCTTCCTATGTCGTACACCCCAACATCGTACCCGCCATCACAGTCAGCCTCCTGACCTTCATTGTAGTCATCCGTGAAATAGATGCAGTTGGCTCTGCAACCAGGGTAATCCCCCGCGGAGACGAAGCTCGCTCGATTGCCTCCCAAGAACAACGCGTAATCCTCCCCTACGCTGTCCACTCTTTCCCAATCGTGCGCATCTGTATTCAGCTTGAAAACCTTGAACGCCGCCGTCTCGTACAAGTCCAGCCTCGCTTTGGAACCGTGAAAAGCCACGTACGTGGTGTCTTCTTCGCCGTCGAAATGAAGCTCCTCCCGCTCCTGCGGCGGGAAGTCAGGTCCCTCACAATCTCTCCAGTCTTTGTTCCTGTGCACCAACATGAGTTCCCCAGACGGGTTTTCCACCAAGTAGTGATCATTGACGCCAAGATATCTATAGTCGCGCAGAGTAGAAAGCCACCGTGACTTTGTCGGAAGACCATCTGCTGCAAACCAGAGACACCGTAAGAGATCAAGAGTACTCATACAAATTTTTTTTTCCATAAGAACTCGAGTTATTATAGATCGTTATTCGGACTACATGGTATGTTCATGTTATCAGAGAGCGTTCCACCGATAGAGGTTATGGTTTTCAATCTTTATCAAATCCCCTAGTATAAACAATGGTTGTAACACAAAAAAAAAATATATGTTCACCTAGTTCAAACCGAAAACCCTACTAGATTACGCAACACACGACCTGATATGTTAAAACCTGTGCAATCTGAGAAAACTCCATCAATAGGCTTTCGTCGTAGCTAGAGAGCGTGATAAGAAATTAAAACTCATACAAACTCGAAATTAAAACTCATACAAACTCTTTTCAAGCAACTCAAATTATCGTGACTAATTGGGTTTGTTCGTTTACCAACACAGACGTAGATTTGGCCTAGATTAGGAAAGTCAACGATGTCAAAATACGAGTAAGACTTAATTTAACCAAGAACTCCACCCAACACGTACCGCCAGGGTTGTAAGAGATCACGTCGACGTTCCCGAGGCAGTCCACGGCGTAGAATTGATCCCTCCAGAACACGGCGTCGGTGTAGCAGCTGGTGGAGCCCACGACGGTGGTCCACTTGGTGTCGAGCCCCGGCCGGCAGAGCGCGAGGCCTCCCAAGCAGCTTTCGAACAGGCCCATCACCACGCAGCAGTCCTTGCGGGTCGGGTCGGTCGACATCACTATCTTGTTGACGTAAGAGTGCGCCATCCACGACCCGCTTTCTCCCACCCGGTACACTTCGCCGTCAGAGAAAGACACATCCTGCCGAACGTATTCGAACCCGGCCCGGTTCGGTCGGTAGCTCAGCACCCCTGGCAGCGTCGTGATTGGAGGGAGATCGATCTGTTGTCTGGTGGTAGGGTTGATCAAGAAACCTGATAAACGTGCGCAATTTGATCAAGCATTCAGAAACTTCACGTTCTAAGTTCTAACTATCATGCATGCAAGGAGATCGAGGTTAATTAAAAAACTATCGTGATCACCTGAAGGGGTTTCCTGGGTGAAGGCCAGCCATCCGAAGCCGCCGCCACGACAGGTTTTGCCGAAAGCTTCGGGGAAGTCGATGTGGTGGAATTCGTTGGTGACGACGTCGTGGAAGCGACGGCAGTACTCCCCCTTACATTCTTCTCCGCCGGTGTCATCGTCCTTGTTATTGTGGCGGCAGTATGGCAACATCAGCCATGGGAAAGGTTGGCAGAACGTCTCGGCGAAGAATTGCCTCCATGGCTTGCAAACGGCTTGGATGCAGATATAATCTTTGTAGCCTTTCAGTCTTGTAACTATCAGACGTAGAACGTCGAACGGTATTTGTGACCAGGGATCGGTCATCTTAGCTAGAAAGACAGATTTAAGAGGCAGAAACTTATTTAACTTTCTTATCGCCCAAGCGTACGCTTATAAGTTATGACGAATTTATAGGGTCGACTGAAAATACTTATTTTCTTTTCCTTCTCAAGTTAGGACGGTTGCTCAAAGATTAATTAATACATAGCTCTCCCTCCTCCATCGCCCAGCGGGAGACGGTTTCTTTGTCCGGTTTGGTTTTGGCCTTTTGGGCATGCAATAAATACATAAATATATAGCTCTGATCTCCCTTCTATATAAAGATAGAACCAAACCCTAGCTACCTCGTCTCCATATTAAGACAGCCACCCGCGTCCACGAAGAATACACCAAAAACCTCCCAAACATCCGATATGGCGTCGTCCGGTGGCAATTTGCCCAAGTTCCCGTCGCTAATGCTGCCCTACTGCCGCCGCAACGAGACCGATGATGATTCCAGCGTCGTCGGAATAAAAGAATGCAAGGGGGAATTCTGCCGCTGCTTCCACGACGTCGTCACCAACGAATTCCACCACGTCGACTTCCCCGAAGCATTCGGCAAAACCTGCCGTGGTGGCGGCTTCGGTTGGCTGGCCTTCACCCAGGAAACCCCTTCAGGTCGGTCACTGCATCCCAATATACATGATATATTTTGGTTAATCTTTTTGGCTTATAGTAAGTTCTTTTTACTCTGATTCGAGTTTGTTGGTCTTGCTATGAATGGAAGACAGATTATCAGCAATTGGGAAGTTACATTGTATGTATGGTGTTGATACATGTTTGTTTTACTGTTTTGGGTCTGGTCTCTACGTTTTGGGTCCTTATTATGTTGGACTAGGGTTAGATTGTAAACAAGATTATGCTACAGATACATTATTAGTTTTTATAATCCCGTATCTTCTCAAATATAGTGAACCTAATTTCTCCTACTCGTGAATTATCTAACACATATCATGTTCGTAAATCACGATATCAATATTTTTTTTTCCATTGTCAATTTATGATCAGGTTTCTTGATCAACCCCGCCACCAGACAACGGATCGATCTCCCTCCGATCACGACGCTGCCGGGCGTGGTGAGTTACCGGCCAGACCGGGCCGGGTTCGAATACGTGCGCCAGGACGTATCTTTCTCCGACGGCAAAGTGTACCGGGTGGGAGAAAGCGGGTCGTGGATGGCGCACTTTTACGTCAACAAAATAGTCATGTCCACCGACCCGGCCCACACGGACTGCGTCGTGATGGGCCTGCTCGAAAGCTGCGTGGGAGGCCTCGCGCTCTGCCGGCCGGGGCTCGACGCCGAGTGGACCGCCGTCGTGGGCTCCACCAACTGCTACACAGACGCCGTGTTCTGGAGGGATCAATTCTACGCCGTGGACTGCCTCGGGAACGTCGACGTGATCGCTTACAACCCTGGTGGTACGTATTGGTGGAGTTCTTAGTTAAATTAAGTCTTACGAACAAACTAATTAGTCACGATAATTTGAGTTGCTTGAAAAGAGTTTGTATGAGTTTTAATTTCTTACCATGCTCTCTAGCTACGATGAAAGCCTATTGATGGGGTTTTCTCAGACTGCACAGGTTGAACATATCTGGTCTTGTGTTGCGTAATCTAGTAGGGTTTTTGGTTTGAACTAGGTGAACATATTATTTTTTTTGTGTTACAACCATTGTTTATATTGGGGGATTTGATAAAGATTGAAAACCATAACCTCTATCGGTGGAACGCGCTCTGATAACCATGAACATACCACGTAGTCAGAATAACTCGAGTTCTTATGAAAAAAAAAGTTTGTATGAGTACTGTTGATCTCTTACGGTGTCTCTGGTTTGCAGATGGTCTTCCGACAAAGTCACGGTGGCTTTCTACTCTGCGCGACCATAGATATATGGGCGTCAATGATCACTACTTGGCGGAAAACCCGTCTGGGGAACTCATGTTGGTGCACAGGAACAAAGACTGGAGAGATTTTGACGGACCTGACTTCCCGCCGCAGGAGCGGGAGGAGCTTCATTTCGACGGCGAAGCGAGGCTGGACTTGTACGAGACGGCGGCGTTCAAGGTTTTCAAGCTGAATCAGGATGCGCATGATTGGGAAAGAGTGGACAGCGTAGGGGATTACGCATTGTTCGTCGGAATCAATCGAGCGAGTTTTGTTTCAATGGAGGAGTACCCTGGATGTAGAACCAACTGCATCTATTTCACGGATGATTATAGGGAAGGTCACGAGGCTCACTGCCATGGCGGCTACGATATCGGCGTGTACGACGTGGGAAAGGGAAGTGTCGAGCCGTTTTCTTGTCGGGGTTTGTATGATCCTGTTCTGATTTGGCCGCCGCCGGTGTGGGTGTTTCCATCGAAATGATTTTATGGAAAATTGATGGGATTATTATTTTTGGGGTTTAATTATTGATGATGTTTTATTGTTGTTATTTGGATTTATTATTTTAACGTAGGAAATGGTCGAAGGCGCTAGCCTTATTCCGTTATTCGGGCAGGTGTAGAGTAGGTCGATTCATATTCATGTGTACGATTGTTTCATTCGTTGTTATGGAGAAGAATATTACGTAACTATTTTGTTTTTTCTTTAGCTTTTTTTCCTTACTATCAAATTCTTTAGTTTATATTGTTATCGTTTGCTAGTGCGTGTTATCGTTTGTTATTGTATTGGCCCATTTGTTACATGTTTATTAGGCTTTAGCTAGTCCCTACCTATGCAACCCATGCAGCTGGGAGAGGGCTTTGGCGCGACTGTTGGGTAATTCCCTCTCCCAGGGTTCGATTTTCTTGCTGGATGTGTTGATACACGTTGGTTTACAACTGATAATTGGTATATTCAGTATGGTGGGGCGTTCATGTCGTGGCGTTGTAATAAGCAGGATAAGGTGTCTAAGTACTCTACCGAGGCATAGTATCGTTCTATGTCCAATCTTGTCTCTGAGCTAGCTAGTATGACTTCGGGGGCTTCTAACTGATTTAGGATCTCTTCTTTAACAATACTAGTGTTATTCCCATCGCAGTTAATCTTGTCTTGAACGATCGTACCAAATATATTGAGATTCATATATATTCATTACATCCGTGACTTGGTTTGGGATGGCGAGATAACATTGCATTCCATCCGTACTGACCAGCAAGTTGTTTATCTTCTAATGAAGGCATTCTCCTCAAATTGATGCTTTCTGCTCCGCATCAATTTGGGAGAGGTTGTTAGACGAGAGTGTGTCTCGTACTTTTTTTCAACATATTGTATTGGCCCATTTGTTACTTGTTTATTGGGTCTTAGTCATGACTCATGCAATCCATGTAGGGATAGGGCTTAGGTAGACGTTCGGTGATTCCCTCTCGGTTTCTTTTCTTTGTTTCTAGCTAGGGGGAGAAAAAAAAATGATTCGATCGAAAGATTGTCAATAAAATTGAACGGGTTTATAGACTTAAATGTAACATAAAAATATAAATAATCAAATATGAACATTCCGGCCAACGGGCCGAATTCTAAGTTAGTACTCATTATAGTTACATTAGTATGAAGCTAAACATTAAGTGGTAGCAGCACCTTATCTGCTCCCCTTACATAAATTTGTCATAGTTAAATGTAGATGCTAAAATGTTGGTCTAAGCAATACCTAGCTTCAGATAATTGAAAGGCGGTAGTTCTTTTGTGTTTAAAGTAATGCATTGAAGTTAATTAACCACCCACGGCCACGGGAGTAAAAAGCTAACCTACTTATCACTTTGGATTCCTTTAAAAATATTGATAGATCCAAAACTTGGACAGGGCAAAAGTTACATGCATGATTCCTTGATGATGGATAGATCCGAAACGTGGACAGGGCAAATTGGATAGTACTATATACTGTGTGCATGCATGGCCTGTGTATATAAATTAAATGTAATGGCAGTTATTGACCCTCATAATTAGCCTATCCATTTTTCACTCTTTCTCCTCTCTTATTTACTCATTTCAGCAAGTTGGTAATTACTAAAATGTCTGTTTTCAGGCTAGAGTTCGACAATCAATTCCTGCTAACCTTCCTTGGCGACCCCGACATCCACGTCTTCGAGTACACGGACGACCCCAACGTCTTCGAGATGATCTACGACAGGGACGACTCCCGCTGGCTCACCGGGATCACCGTCGGACGCTCCCCTGCGGCGTCGTTTAGGGCCCTGGAGGTGTTCGGCGTCACCATTGGTGGCAACAAGTTGAAGCAGTTGGCCAAGGATTTGACCCTGGTCGATGAAAACGGTCAGCCCTTTCATCTCTTGGTCAACCGCCAGGGCCTATGTTTCCTGCGCGTCAGGAGTCAGTCGATCGTGCGGCTGAGGATCAATGACCATTTCGGTTGGTCCAAGTACGGGGTGAACCCTCAGATCAGTACGATATGGAGTATATGGGACATGAACAATGGCGCCGTCTTGGTTGCTCCTCCGGCTAATCTTGGCGAGGAGGGTATTGATGTTGATGAGAAAAAGAAGCTCTTGGAGGAGAAGGAGAAGTTGCTGGAAGAGAAGAACAAGCTTATGGAGAAGATGCTGGAAGAGAAGGAGAAGGAGGTGGTTTCTCTCAAGGCCGCCTTGAACGCTCTGACGTTAAAATGATGATGAGGAGGAGGAGGAGGATTTGTCCATTTATGCCTATATCTCGTTACGTTAATCTGCATGCATGTGCATTAACTGGTTACTACGTGTGTTGTGTACACGTGTGTAAATAAATAATGATGTACACGAATGATGATATATATGTGGGTTGCTATTCGTCGTCGTTATATTGTTATTTATATATGTCTATTCAATATATGTTTAATCAAATTTGTTGTCTAAGAACCTCTCGTAGTATACTTATCATTGAATTTGAACTTGGCGAATTACAACTTGACTTAACTGCAGTCTAGGGGGAACAATATCTGGGTGACCTCTCTCAACTTTGAACACAACTTTTACTATTTTTGCCTGCTAGTTTAGTTAGACCTTCACTACACTTGAACCGCTAAATAATACGAATTTCACAAAGTAGTCATCATACTTAAGACCCGGGTTGACAATTAAATCGAAACTCGCTATACTATGCATTAGTAGGTGGTTATACTTGGCCACTTTCTAGTATGACAGTACAGGCGTGTCAGTTATCCTTCCAAAAAACTCATAAATTAAAGTAAAGTATATTTCCATTTATGAGAGATTTGATACATCTATATATTGTTGAACTTATGGATTTTATGAATCCATGTTCTAAAATGCATTCTCCATACTTCATGAGTATTTTTACTTCTTATTATTATGAGAGAACCTAAACACGAGAATGCCACTTCTAGTAATTAATTAATAAATAAATTACATAGAACGTTTAAGGAAATGTCGTTCAAATAGAAATTTTCAATCATTTCTTTCCATCCTCATTGTGGAAATCATTTTGGCGTTCTTTTCTTTTTTTATAAATTCCTATTACAAGGTGCTACTAGAGGAAGGAAAGGGAAATGCAGTCAGCGAGAATCGAATACACGACCTTACAATAGAAGTGTGCAAACTCACCAGTTAGACTGGTCGCAAATCATTTTAGCATTGTGATTTCTAAATTAGACTAGCGGATGAAAATTAAACCTTTTACACGTTTTTTTTTTTTTCTTATGACAAAGAACACTTACCCGCGGCCATCATTTACAATGATGCTGCTTGGCAGAGGCTAAACTCCGGACTGTTGGACCAAAATTAGAGCCTCCAACACCAAAGAGATGCTACGGAAGGGATCAGTGTCGTTGTCAAGATTCAAACACACAATCTCTCGTTCTCACCATCTAAGCTAGACCTCGTTCAAAAACGAATCCCTTAATTAATATTTTAGGACAATTGGCGAGGTCATTTGCATGTTGGACTACTTCTTTTTTTTTTTTTTTTTTGGTATAAATTAAACAATCGCATGCCCATTGCTTATTATTAATACAACCCATCGCTTGAATGCTTAAGTACTAATCAAAGTAAATATACAATCAATACTAAGAATTTTCACTCCCAGGAACCCAAATGTACTTCAACACATCCCCACTTGGGCCGACGGTCACGTCCCTAACGTAGATGCCGTCACGTTTAACGGCCCAGTACACGTTCCTGTGGTGGATGAAGGAATTATCTCTGGACGAGTAAGAGACGAAGTCGACGTGGACCGCCGTAGCGCCGCCAACAGGAGCCACGTAGCAAGGGTACTTGGTGACTCCGAAGAAGCCCGGCTTGAACCGCCACGTGTACTCCGAGCCGTCTCCGACGTAATGGACCCCGAGGTCTTCCGTTTTCGACAAGAACCTCTTGCCCTTGCAGTGCACCATCATCTGCTGACTGGACCCCAATTCGTTGATGATGTGGACGTGCCTGTACGGCCACAAGCTGAATTTCGCGTCGTCAGCGGCTGCTGTCGCCGGAGCCGGCGAGGCCGCTATTAAAATCGTTGAAACGGCGGTGATAAGTAGTGCTGCGGCTGCGGCGGCGTTCATTGTTGTCGTGTGTATAATTTTTATCTGTCTATTTGTTGTTGAGGAGAGGTCCTTGGTCGAAGCCTGAACGAATTTATATATTAATTGTTTTGTTTGTTGTTTTGTAAAGTACATTATAAATTCTTGGAAATTATAATTTTTTTTTTTTTTGTATATGTTCTTTCTTTAAAAGTGTTATGCTTATCCATTTTTTATAGGCTTATCCATTTCTGAGCAGATACAATTAACCACTCAATGGACAATTAGGTAATTCGTATATATACCTAGAGCGCATTAGCTCCGGTCTCAACTTGTTGGATCTGACTACTACACATTGTCATAACATATTTTTTTTAGTGAGAAACCTAAATACGGGACTGTCATTGTTAACAAAAAAAAAATATATTAATTTAAAATTTTAATTAAACAAATCTAATCATGATATATTAATTCGTATTTTTTTACAAATCATGTAGATATTTAACCGTGAACACTTCAACTGTATCATATGAATATATGTCATATGTGTTGTGATCATATGTCAATCCCTTATCTATAGTCAGGGGTGGGATTCGGTCGGTAAACAATTTACCGTTTACCGAATTTACCGGTTTCGGTATACCGAAGTTGGCCAAACTGGTTACCGATTACCGATACCGGTTTGTAACCGGTTTACCGATTACCGAATTACCGGTAAACGGTAACAAACCGGTATTACCGAAATACCGTGAGAAGCGATTTCGGGCGATTTTTTTGGTCGGTTTACCGAATATTTACCGAACCGAATTTCTTGAAGTGGGGTGATGTGGTAATATTTTGATTGTTTTGAATTTTTTTCATCATTTTTGTAATTAATAATTTATTATTAACTCTTATTTACAATATTTTTGAGGCCTATACTTACATTCATGTATGTAATATTTTATATTTGTGAATAATGATGTAATATTCTTCATAATAAAGCAACAAAACGCAGCGCAGCACTAGGGAGTAGGGAGGGGGGATTCGGTATCGGTAATACCGATTTACCGTCGGTATTTACCGATACCATGTCCGGTAAACCGACTCCCCCAACTTCCCGCTCGGCTACCGATACCGCCGGTAAACGGTTTACCATTTACCGTCGGTTACCGGTTCGGTAAAACGGTAAACCGTTTACCGGATTACCGTTTACCACCCCTATCTATAGCCTTCATATCAAAGGAAAATGGCATTCCCAAAAAATCATCTGAAATTTGTGATGATACCCCTTTTTGATTTTGTCAAAATGGATCTGGTGAAAATCTGTCAAAATCGGTGATTAATAGATATAAATATCAATAAAAAACAACCTCACGGCGAATCCGTGATCCGTAGCCTTACAAGAAAATTGATTCCAGATCGGATACAGGCCAGGGAGATCGAGATTTGCAGCTATCTGGTCTTATTCATTTCACTACGTCGGAAGTCTAGGAATCATATAATATAGGATTTGGTTCATTAATGGACTGAATCTCGCCGCTTGCGCTGGACGGACACCGTCAGGGGTTAAACGGCACTGACAGTGGTGCTTACACAAATCAAATACTGATCGGTATCATATAGCGTGGCACTTGATATCTTATGATTTGTTTTTGTCGCCTCATCTGTTGCAGATATTTGACTATATTTCTTGGTTGTATAGCCGGTCAAAATTTTTTTTTTTTTTGGGGTAAATCAAACAACCACATGTCCCTTGCTTATTATTAGTACTACAAACCATCCTCCGAATGCTTAATCTAATTACACAATATTTTCACTCCATACTATTACTATTAGAATTTACTTTCCCAGGAACCCAAACGTGCTTCCATATATCCCTACTTTCCCCGGCGGCGGACACGTTCCTCAGGTAGATGCTGTCGCGTTTAACGGCCCAGTACACATTGTTCTCGTACTCGACGAAGCTACCGTCACCGGACACGTAAGCATCGAAATCCGAGTGGACCGGCATGCCGTCGCCAACTGGTGCCACGTAGCACGAGTACCTGGTGACTCCGAAGAAACTCGGCCTGAACCGCCACGTGTACTCCCATCCGTCTCCGACGTAGTGAACTCCTAGGTCTTCCTTCGACAAAAGTCTCTGGCCCTTGCAGTGCACCATTATGGAGTCGTTGTAGCCCAACTCGTTGCTGATGTGGACTTGCTTGATTGGCCTCCACAAGCTGGGGATTTTCGGCGCCACGTCATCGGCTTGGCCGGTAATGGTGCGGATGGCTGCTGTCGCCGGAGATGGAGAGGTTATTAGAATTGTTGAAACGGCGGTGATAATTAGTGCGGCGGCGGAGGCGGCGGCGTTCATTGTTGTTCTGTGTATGATAAGATCATAAGAATCAGTCTATTTGTTGTTGGGGAGAAATGAATGAATTGTCTAAGCTTCAGCGAATTTATAGACTAATCCCACCGCCTTGGAAGGGAAATAAGTTGTCTAGTTTGTTTTGGAAAGTCCATTATAGAAATATTGAATTTAGATATTTTGTATACATTCTGTTGAGTATTTTTCCCCTCCCTTTTTATAGTCTTTGCTATATTTGGACGATCATATTTAGCGGGCACCGTTTGTAGGATAGCGAAATTAATTACCACTCGGCTTATTAACGAGTTGGTATATTTGTAACTCCTATCTTTATTTTTTTATTTTTTGAATTGGATTGTGGGTGATTGTAATTGATTTGTGCGGGTTAATCTGCAAAAAGTAAAAGATGTCTCGATTAACATATTTTTCTGTTCGAAAATATATCGCATTGGATATTGTCTTGTAGAACATATTGATCTAACTTTTGAACAAATAAAAATTTAAAATCCTGAGTTTGAACAAAATGATGTATAGCTTCGGGGCTATGCACTCGATCTGCTCCCAAGAAAATCCGTAATAAGGGAAACAATTATTCTGGATAGTTTTTTTTTTTGCATTATGGGGAGGCCGCAGCCAAGAAAGAGAGGAACGAGTTACAGAGAGGAAAAAGAGGTGGGGGGACGAACAGCCACAAGGCGTTCGAAAGTGGAGCCACGGAAGTCATCACGAAGAATGGCCTCAAGGCCGGGAGGAGGGCTAGCAAGCTCATGCATACCGTAGGGATAGACGAGACTGTGCTTCGAGAGCCAGTCCGCGACTCTATTCCCTTCTCGGTATACATGAGTGATGTTAACCAACCAATCCCGGCCTAGTTTCCTGCGGATACTGGACAGAAGAGTAGAGTACGGGTGGAGAGGATCGTCCCTGTTCTGAATGAGCTTCACAGCCAGCTGCGAGTCCGACTCTACTTTGACCGCTCTATAACCAAGTCTCCAAGCCAAATCCAGACCATAGTTTATTCCCCAAATCTCAGCAAGAGCCGCCGTGGCCACGCCAACATTAGCCACAAACCCGCCAGCCCACAGACCAGTGGAGCCTCTGATAACTCCCCCAGCACCAGCCGGGCCCGGATTCCCATTAGAAGCCCCATCCACATTCAACGTTACCCACCCATCAAGAGGGGGGGACCAGCCAATGTTCTCCCACTGCCGAGTAGCTGGACGGGTACGGCTGTCCGGAAGCATAGATGGCGTGTGCCAGGAGTCGTGCCACATCTTCGCCTTGGTCATGATGGAGTGCTCAAGAGAAGGTGCAGAGAGAGCAGCTGTCTTACCTCTAAGGGCAGTCGTACACCTGTTCTTCCAAAGAAGCCAAGTCGCCATGCTGAAAAAGGCCGGCCAGCTAATGCCCGACGCCATTATGTCACCCTCGAGAAGATTCTTGCGTAGCCAGTCATCCTGACGGTCGCTGAAGAAGGTCTGCTGATGCTGGATAGGCACATGGCGGGACCAGAAGAAGAGGGCTGGGGGACAATCCCTGAGGATGTGAAGGATCGACTCCGGCTGGTTGGTGCATTGATCGCAGCAAGGACTCGAAGCTATCTTCCTGCTGTAACGGAGAACATTGGTAACAATCTTCCCCGAAAACGTCTGCCATATGAAAGTTCTGATCCGCTCCGGCACCGGAAGACGCCAAATGATCTTCCAAATCTTCTCGTTCGGGTCCGGAGGTCTTTGGGTGAGTAAAGTGAAGGCTGATTTGGCGGAGAAGCGGCCATCTGCTGACGCCGACCAGAACAGCCGGTCTTCCTCCTGGGAGAGCTTATCCACAGCAACGCTCAAGATTTTTTGTTGGATTTCGCTTGGAAGAAGGTCACTGAAGAGCTCGGTACACCAGTTCCCGTCGTCATCAGTGAAGTCCGCAACCACCGCTGCCTCCAGACCCGGAGGGATATCGCCAGTAGCAACCTCCTTCAAAGGGACCTGTAAAACCCACGGATCAAGCCAAAACTTAGTGCCTTTACCATTCTTAACATTCCACGCACACCCTTTAAATAGTAAGGGAGAGGCTTTGGCCAAGCTGGCCCAGGTAAAGGAACTTCCCTTTACTGGTTTGATCAGGTTGAGACCTTGCCTCTGCCTGCCGTACTTAGCTTGCATCACCCGCGTCCACAGCGTTTCTTTCTCCTGGATTAATCTCCAACCACTCTTAGCTAACATGGCAGTGTTAGCTTGCCTGGTCTGCCTAATTCCCATGCCACCTTGACATTTGGGAGAAGTCATCTTGTCCCAAGCCACCAGGTGCATCTTGCTCTTCTCCGGCTCGTCCCCCCAAATGAAGTCCCTGTTTAATTTGTCGATGCTTTTGCAGATATTGCTAGGAATCCACTCAGTCTGCATGCTGTAAACAGGTAAGGACACAGCAACAGAATTGGTTAGGGTGAGTCTAGCCGCAAAAGAGAGGCGTTTTGCCTTCCAGGGAGCCATCCTCTTCTGAATGCGGAGGATGAGAGATTGGTATCTGTCTCTAGTCACCCGCCCCTGAATGGCCTGGATGCCGAGGTAACGCCCCAAGGCCGCTTTGAGGGGAACTCCCGCCTGCTGACTCAGTCTCGAGGCCCTCTGACGATGAATGTTTGGGGAAACATAGAGGATCGACTTGTCGTAGTTGACCTTTTGCCCAGAGCTGTAGCAAAAGTCATCTAAGCATTGCTTCACTATCTGGATCTGCCTGGACTCCGCCTCTGCAAAAAGGAGAAGATCATCTGCAAAGAAAAGATGAGTTAGGGGTGGACCATTAGCGGATAGCTTAACTGCTTTCCACTGTCCACTGTTGACTGCTTCATCAATTTTATGCGATAATCGCTCCATACAAAGGACAAAAAGATAGGGAGAAAGAGGGTCTCCCTGACGAACACCGCGGGAAGGGGAGATCGGCTGCGAGAGCTCGCCATTCCAGAGGATCCTCATCCTGTTCTGCTCCACACAGGTCATAATACAGTTAACCCAGGAGCTGGGGAGGCCTACTTCCTTAAGAGTGTCCCTAAGGAAGTCCCATCGCAGTCTATCATACGCTTTCTCCAGGTCAATCTTGAAGACCATTCCTCCTTTCTTGCCCCTCTTCTTTTCCAAAGTGTGAAGGACCTCCTGAACTACGATGATATTGTCTGTAGTCTGCCTTCCCGGAATGAAACTGCTCTGTCTGGGAGAAACCAATTTCTTCATGAGGGGCTTCAATCTGCTAGTCATAGCTTTGGTGATGGCTTTGAGGCTGACATTGTTGAGAGAGATGGGGCGGAGTTGGGAGACCCGCTCAGGAGTGTCCACCTTCGGGATCAGCACCAGAGTGGAGTCCGAGACGCCTTCCGGAAGAGAGCCTGTAGAGAAGAAAGATAAAGCCATATCTGCTAATTTCTTTCCCACAATTGCCCACATCTGCTGGTAGAAGACCGCATGAAAACCGTCTGGTCCAGGGGCTTGAAAGGGCTTCATCTCAAAAATCGATTTGTGGATGTCCTGTATAGAAAAGGCACTAAGAAGCAAAAGCATCTCAGAGTGGCTTAGCGCGGGGAAGGCATTATGAGGCAGCCTGTCTTCATAGGGGAGATCCTCCTGCAGAAAAAGGTTAGAAACATAATCGAAAACTAAAGAGGCAAGGGAGTGAGGATCGTTCACCCAATTTCCATTCACGTCTTGGAGAGCCTCGATCTTATTCCTGCGTCTTCTTATGTTGACAAGTTGGTGAAAATAAGCAGTATTGCGCTCCCCAAACTTCACCCACTTGTCCCTGGAACGTTGATACCAGAGAATTTCCTCCTGCTCAAGGATCTTATCCAGCTCCATTTCAAGCTTTGAACGGAGTCTAGCTAGCCCAGGCGCGAAGGAATCAGCCAAGTTGGTATCGATGCCTTTGATTCTAGCTAAAAGCCTGGTCTTCTTCCTGTGGATGCTCCCGAAGGTGAGGGAATTCCATTGCTGCAGCTTGCTTGAAAGAGTAGCAATCGCGTTGGGGAAGGGGACATCAGGCTCCCAGGAAGCCGAAATGGTCTCCCGCAAGCTGTCATCCGCAAGCCAGGCTGCCTCGAACTTGAAGGGCCGAGGATTGCTGTTGCCACTGGAGTGAGGGGAAACCGAAGTCAGCAGAGGGGTGTGATCCGAATGCAGCCTAGGAAGATGGGTAACCGAGGAGTTTGGAAACGATTCATTCCACCGCAAGTTGCATAAACTTCTATCAATTCTGCTGGCTTTGAAAGAGTGCTGCCCGTCCCCCCTCGTCCACGTGAATTTAGCACCAGAGAATCCCAAATCAATCAACTCCGCTCGGTTAATGCGATCATTAAAGATGCGACACCTCCTCATGGTAGAAGCCGAAGAAGCACCAGTCTTCTCATCGGGGCTGCGGATCGCGTTGAAGTCCCCGGAAAGAATCCAAGGAAGATCGAGCCAATCGCTTTGCTGAATGAGGCTATCCCAGAGAAGTCGCTGTTCACTAGGGCGGGGGGACGCATATACCGCGGTTAAGACCCAAGGCTGCTTGGCAGTTTCCTCAATCCGCAGGGAAATGTGTTGGTCGCAAGCAGAAATGATCTGGGTCGAGAATCTCTTCGCGTCCCAGAACACCCAAATGCCCCCGCTTCTCCCGTTCGCTTCTACTCGGATGGAATTCGGATAACCCAATCTGTCACAGGCAGTATTCGCGGCCGTGCCGCTGATCTGCGGCTCCAAGAGGATAACAAAATCAGGGCGGTAGGACTGCAGGACGAGCTTCAGGGACCGGATGAACGTTCTGCTTCCAGCTCCTCCTACATTCCAGGTAAAAATGCTTAATTTAGAGCTAATAGACAAAGACATGATAAATGAACAAAGAAGAAAGGGAGGGAGAAAGCGAAGAGAGGGGCAGAGAAGAAAGTCTCATTGGGTTAGGCCGTCGGGTTCGGCCAAACTAGTATCTGTCATAGTTCTTTCCGCCTGTGATACGGGATTTCCTCCTGAGAGCTTGTCTGGCGCCTCTTTAGCAGCATTAGTCCAGGCATTTATCTCCTGCAAGGTGAGGCTCGCGATCCTGGCTCTCGATTTGGTCTTGCGCTCTTTTTTCGGTGTCCAGATTTGCAGTCCCTTCGTCGGACTAAGTTTTGTCGGCGTTCTCCGAGGCTCCATCTTCCGAGGCTTGTTGTGTTTCGTCCTGGCTTTTGCTGATGGGGTCTGGGCGAGTTTGGTTTCCTTATCTTCTTTCTGAATGGGTGGAAGATTAACAATTTGCATTATAGTACCGTTCACGCCCGTCACCGTTTGGACGGCCGGCGGCGTCACTTTACTCCTCTCGGTCCCGGCGGCTGAATTTTCCACGGGGGGAATTAATTCTGGCAGAATTGTGGCTTGAGCTTTGGGTTTGGATTCGGCAGTGGGCTTAGGCGGACTCTTGTTAGATGTCGAGGCTTGGGCCTGGTCGGCCTTGGCCTTTGGCCCATTACCCAGGGGCAGGCCAGAGCCCGGGATAGGGCCCAAGAGGCCTTTTCCCCCAACCCTAGCCTCTGCTGAGACTGGTTCCTTTCCTTTCTTCTCTCCTGCTTGTTTCTTTCCTGCCGCCCCTTTCCTTTCTTGAATGGGCGCTCGGTGGGGTGAATCAGGGGTGGTCTGCGGGGATATCGGAGAAGCTCTTCCCCCTTCCTTCTGCAGCGATTCATGCTTTCCTTGTTTAGCTGGTATACTACCGTTGGCGATCTTCGAGACAGAATCCGGTTTCCCTTTCTGTGAAGGCTCCCGCGAATTCCGCCTTGTCTTCCGGGAAACGAGCATCCAGGGCCCGAAACCCGGAGCTGGTTCCGCCTCTCCCTTCTCTGCTTCGATGACCGGAGTCTCGCCGCCGGTAATAGCCAGTGTCGACGGAGGGGTCTGTAATTGCAGTTTGGGGCAGAGCACTGAGGAATGCCCAATTTTCCCACATTCGAAGCACACATCGGGGAGGTTTTCATACTCGACTTTCTGCCAGGCATCGTCCAGCCAAATCCGAGGGACTAAAGGCTTGGACAGATCCAATTCGACCGCTATCCTCGCGAACTTTGCTCGTTGAAGGTTCAAAGTATGGAAATCCAGGCGAATCGTTCTTCCAAGGAGATTGCCGAGGGAAGTCAGGATTTCTTTATGATAGAAATGAACTTTCAGCGCCGGAAATTGAACCCAGACGATCATCTTTCTCGGGAGGGGATCAGAGACCTTGAAGCTCGGAGACCATTGCTGCACTGCCAAGTAGTGGTCAAAAATTGTCCAGGGACCATCTGTAAGGGCTCTGAAGTAATCCTGTTCATTGCTGAGTTTAACTAGGAAGCAATCCTGGTCAATGTCCAAGACCTCCATGGCTCCAATTGGTCTCCAGAGCCCGCGGAGTCGAGAGCAGAGAGTGTTGAGTCCAATGGTAGTGCCAAGCAGTCTTATCACGATCGTTCGGTTCCAGGGGGCACATATCTTTTCTTTGAAGGTCGGGGAGATATTGAGAGCTGGTTCTCCATTCCTGCTGCCCGGTATCAGGTCATTCTCGCCCACCGGAGTCCATTGAGTTGCTTGATTTGAGATCGAAACGTTGGATTTCCACCCCCTCACCGCCGATGCGTAGGAGAACTGTGCTGTCGGCCCAAACTGTGCCGAAGCCTCATGGGTTTGCACCGTTTCCTTCTCCACCGTCGTAGACAGGGGATCAGTACAAACGAGGTTTCCAGACAACCCCCCCGCTCCAGCAGAGGCGTCGATGATCATATCAGTCGCTGTAGTTACAGGCGCGTTGCTGGGGTCCGCTGATTGGAGATGCGAGGTGAGGTCCGACGGACGGTCTGAGGGGAGGAGTGCCTGCGGCGGCGAAGCTGAGGGCGTTCCTTCCAGCGGAGTTGAGAGCATTTTCTTTTCGTGGTTAAGTGAGGCACCACTGTGCTGTGCTGGTTGCTTATTCTGTACCGCGAGCAATTTCTATTCTGGATAGTTTATTACTATGCTAATTCGGACGATTCAACAACAATAACTAATCACTCGTCACGGATTATCCCACAAACCAATAAATAACTGTCCAAAAAATTAGTTATAATCCCCTCTTTTTTTTTTAATTACTGCAGTAATAAAGTTTAAGAAAACACTAATATTAATGATGATCAACATGGACCTACACAAAGACATAACTGAGATTCACAGCCACCAAGAACTGGCTGTTTCGCACTCTGAAATTTGACGCGGCATAGGTCGCTGCATATTGCGTCCTTGCATTCTTCAAAGCCCCCTGCGTACCCTAACTTGCAATATTCTCCACCGTCGGTTCTTGTTGCCACCAGAAATGTCGTCAGTAAAAGGAGAAGGAACACGTTAGAGATCTTCATAAATTCAATAATTAATTATTAGGAAATATGAATTGGGTTGAAAGAGAAGTTTTGGCAATGCATATAGCACTAGCTAGTCCACTAGTAAAAAAAAATCAAATTACATTAACGTTTTGAATATACAAATTCTAAAATGATCTATTTATTTATATTGAATGGGGGTTGGTACTTGCTAGAAAGGTCTAGGATAAGTATATCCACAATTAATGAAATAAGATACACTTTGCATGTATACCAAATTATGTATATGGTATTTCAATTCATCCATTATATTTAACTCGAAAGGATATATGTATTAAATTATAATTTGAATTTTGTTTAATAATCATTAACCTACCATGTCCAATTTTTTTAAAAAGAGAAGGAAAATTAAAGACACATTTCCATTTGAACTATTTTTGGGTGGTTGAACTATTATAATCTGTCTATTAGTTGTTGAGGAGGAAATAAATAAGTTGTTTAGTTTGTTTTGGAAAGTCCATTATAAAGCCTTGAACTTAGATATTGTGTATACATTCGATCTGTTGAGTTTATCCTTTTTTTCTAGCCTTCGCTATATTGGACAATCATTTTTAGCGGGCACCGTTTCTAGGGTTGGTATATTTGTAACTCACTATTCCTTTTTTTTTTCTTTTCTTTTCGAATTGAACGAAGGGTGATAGTGGTTGGGCCCGCGAAAACCATTTCCCTACTAGTTATTAGAAAAATTAACTAAGGTTTATAATAAATTCTTTGTTATGAAAATATTATTATTATTATGGATGACCAACATTAGATGCTCCATGGTATGTTACAAGTTCTATGTAACTCATCTCCTTATATTTATTTCTCCATATGACACATTAGTTGCACAATTGGGTGTTACATGTAACCCCCCACCCCATTTCTATTTCACATTCATTCTCACATTCATATATATTGATTGTAAGAATGTAGAGGTTATGTGATGTGTGCCTATAAATAGATGATCTCATTGTACTAAGGAACACATGAATAAGAAAGCTCTATTCCCCCTCTCTTCTTGTGTCTCTACTCTTACTCTTGTGTATGTTCCTCTTCCTTGTTATTTCATAACACGTTATCAGCACGAAGCTCTGCCAGAGTCATGGTTGGTTATTGTCTCTTTACATAATCAAAACTTATTTGAGTAAGATCACAACACGATCAAGGTATGCAACTTTTCACGTCGTTTCTTGTTAGTATGTTTATCTATCTCATTGTCTTTGAGGGATTATTTGATTCATATTATTTTATATATGTCGATCTCGTAACATGGAGTTTGTGCTTGGACATTATCAGATAATGAAAATTGCTCCTGTAGTAGCAAAATCATTATGGGTTGACTTATCGATTGCTATAAACGACATATAGAGAAATGAAAGTCTAAAGATCTCATTTTCCCCAAAGTGGGAAAATGAAGAAAAATGTGTCAAATGAAAGAAGTGGATCTGGTGACAAAATTTTCGGAATATGAGTTACCATTGTGGTGAAAAAAAATCATTGATCTTGTACCCGATGTATGAAAAGAAGTTTTATTGGGCCAAGAATCATTGGAAGGAAAATGAAAATCTATATGTGCTCCTGCAGTAGCAATATTATTGTAGAGGTTTTATAAAGTGCAAGTTAATCTCTTGTTTGTTAAAGGTGAAAAGTGTATTGGACTTGTGATGAGAAATATTATATAATTTGATCGAAAGGCTGGTGTCTCATTCCCGGAAGCGAATGAAAGAAACCATTCTTAAAAGTAAATGCAGCAAGACACACCATTATATAAATATAATTTGGTGTTTGAATAACGACAATCAACAAATGTATCTTTTCACCGGTAGTGAAAGATAAAATAATTATAAATGAGGATGACAACTCATGTAGCAAAAGTCATGATCATATACCGTAACCTTCATATGCCGGAATGTGTTATGAAACACATATATGTTATTATTATTATTATTATTATTATTATTATTATTTTGTATGTTTTTGTATAGAATTGAATATTTGCAAAAGTCAATACTGGTATTATATCATATAATATGAAAGTAATCAAAAGCTCCGGAAGAGATTGTGTTTTGTTACTTGAAGTAACTAAACAATATATTGGTGATATCCATAGTATGAAAATATTATTATCACTATGTATATGCGCTTACAATAGTTCACCGAATCAGAAGGTGCCTCATGGCCAAAATGTAGTACAAGAATATGTGAAGGCTCCAGAAGAGCTAATGTTTTGAGACGTAAATGAACTAAACTGTCAATTGAAGATGTATTACCGAATTCATAATTCAGTTGAAGATATTCGCAGAAACGAATATCATATTGCATCATATATGTGTTCTAAGAGAACATATACTTAACTGGATAAATTTGTACTACATGTACAATAGTACATATGAAAGTGTAAACTAGAAGTTTATAAGATCGGATAACTTATATTTTGGCATATCCGGTCATACCATCCCGGATACAGATGCAAAAATGATTGAGATATCATACGGAAATTAAGTGAGAGTTCAGAGAATTCATCAATCAAAGGATTGATTATGTGATACATGGTCTCGAGGAGAATATACTCGTGAAAATAATTGAATTTGTTGAGATTTTATAAAAGTGTATGCAGAAAAATACACTCACCGTGCAAATCATATATGAATTTTATGATTTTGGTTGATTAATCAACTATATCATCATATATGTCTGTTATCTAAACGCAACCTGATGTTTGCGAGATTAGTTGCCGAATGATGGATATATTTTGATGATTATCCAATCAAGCAGAACTTCTCTTATGAGAACAAACCAAGTCTATCGATCTCTTATCGAGGCATATGATATCATTAATTCGCATGAAGCCAACAAGTTATCATAAGTTCTCCCTTTTCATACAAATGGTTTTGGTCAGGGACCAAACATTTAAAATGCTAGAAAATTTGGGTGTGCAGAATACATCCCAATTGCTCCACCACAACACGTTATGAGTTCCATGAGAACTTATGTTGGACATGGTGTCCATTGCAATGAGAGATTTGTTCATGACTCATTTTGCTAATATCATCATTTTGATGAATTACTTTTCGAACGTTAAGGGGGAGAAAAGTAAACACTGGGGCATAGATGTGAGTTGGAATCATCATTATCTCATTTTGATCCTCAAACGAAGAAACATGAACCCGAAGTTCATATGGTGATTCATGGAGAAAAAAACGTATTAATTGCCAAACGCCTTTTTACTCACTAAAAGGAGTGATTATGTCAAATGCCCAGTTGTGAATGCTCCAATACAAATTGATGTCCATATTGGATAATCTAATGAGTCTAAACGAGCGCATGAAGCGTGGTAGACCAATCGGTTCCAAGGATAAAAATCCTCGAGAAAGGAAGGAGCTATAAATTAAGATGGTAAACTCGAGGATAAAATAGCTCTAGAAGAGTCAAGTCATAAAATTGAGATCATAGCTCCAGAAGAATAGTAGGTACCTGAACATTTTAAAATGAAGAGATCTCAATTAATTGGCTTGTATGAAAAATTGGAACCGAAGTGTATTTATTGTCGACAAGGGTTTTAATTATGCTGTAGCACTGAACGTGATAGATACAAAGAGGATCAAAAGTAAAAGTCTATTGATGCATGCAAAGGAATATATATTGGCCAATATAAAAGAAAGCATTAGGCTATTTGGTATAAGTTTTGGACCAGAAGTCCTTACACCTGAAGATGTAAAACTAACATGATACAAATAGGTTTTGTGCAAATGCGTATGGAAATTGCGAGAGATATAATATAATTTCTCGTGAGAGGTTTCTGGTAGAAACCTGACATCAATTATGAAGAGACATACTCTCTTGTGGTGGATGCAACTATGTTGTGCAATTTAAATAGTTTGGCAGTTCAAAAGGCATGAAATTTGCATTTGGTAGATATTGTGATAGCCTATTTGTATGGATCCCTTGATAATGATATTTATACGAAACTCCTTGAAGGATTAGTTTGCCGGA